ACCTGTAGTCCTAGCTGCTTGGGAGGCTGAGGCAGAAGAATTGCTTAAGCCCAAGAGTTGGAGGTTGCTGTGAGCTGTGACGCATCAGCACTCTACCCAGGGCAATAGCTTGAGACTCTGTCTAAAAAAAAAAACAAAAAAAAACCCAGTATAGTTAATATTTCTGGGGTGTGATAATGAAATTCTAGTTATACTGATTAGGTCATTAAATATGGAATGTGGGGGCTTGGCGTCTGAGGCTCAAGCAGCTAAGGCACCAGCCACATATACCTGAGCTGGCGGGTTCGAATCCAGCCTGGGCCTGCCAAACAACAATGATGGCTGCAACCAAAAATAGCTGGGCATTGTGGTGGGCCCCTGTAGTTCCAGCTACTTGGGAGGCAGAGGCAGGAAAATCACTTGAGCCCAGGAGTTGGAGGTTGCTGTGAGCTGTGATGCCACAGTACTCTACCCAGGGCGACAGCTTGAGGCTCTATCTCGAAAAAAAAAGGAATGTCCAATTTTGAATCCATAGTTTTTTGGGTTTTTTTTTTTTGAGACAGGGTCTCACTTTGTCACCCTCAGCAGAGTGCTATGGCATCATAGCTCACAGCAACCTCCAACTCTTGGGCACAAGCAATTCTCTTGCCTCAGCCTCCTAAGCAGCTGGGACTACAGGTGCCTGTCACAATGCCCAGCTATTTTTAGAGACAGGGTCTAGCTCTGGCTCAGGCTGGTGTCGAACTCATGAGCTCAGGCAATCCACATGCCTCAGCCTCCCAGAGTTGCTAGGATTACAGGTGTGAGTCACCACGCCCGGCCTCCAAAAGTTTAGTTGATCATATCTTTTTTTTTTTTTTTTTGAGAAGGAGCCTCAAGCTACTCCCCTGGGCAGAGTGCCATGGCATCACAGCTCACAGCAACCTCCAACTCCTGGGCTCAAGCGAGTCTCCTGCCTCAGCCTCCCAAGGAGCTGGGACTACAGGCGCCTGTCACAACGCCTGGCTATTTTTTGGTTGCAGCCGTCATTGTTGTTTGGCCAGCCCAGGCTGGATTCGAACCCACCACCTTAGGTGTATGTGGCTGGTGCCTTAGCCACTTGAGCCACAGGCACCGAGCCAGTTTATTATATCTCAAATAAGAATCACTCCAGGGCTGTGTTCAGTGGCTCACACATGTAATCCTAGCACTCTGGGAGGCCAAGGACGGTGGACTGCCTGAGCTCACAGGTTCAAGACCAGCCTGAGCAATTGTGAGATCCCATCTCTAAAAAAAAATAGCTGGGCATTGTGGCAGGTGCCTGTAGTCCTTGCTACTTGTGAGGCTGAGACAAGAGAATTGCTTGAACCCAAAAGTTTGAGTTTGTTGTGAGCTATACCATCACAGCACTCTACAGAAGGCAACAAAGGGAGACTTTGCCTCAAAAAAAAAAAAAAAGCAACACTCCAATTAGTCAAAGTATGCACTTAAACTACCAACACTAAGTCTTGCTATCACAGTATAGCTTGTTTATGCCAGCAGGGAAGAGGCCTGGAGAGTTGAGTGGTAATGAAATCACAAAAGGCACTTTCCAGCTTGTTTTTTTGCAAAAACTGGTCCAAATGCTAGAAGACGTCATTGTCAGTTAGTACAAGGTCTGGCTAAGTACAGAGGATGACAGAGAGTTTCTAAGTCTGGCTTCTGTAGTTTGAGCAGCATTTGTGCAACATGTGGTTGAAAGTTGTCTTGTAAGAGGATTAGCCTGTCTCTGTTGACCAATCTCAGCTGCTTAATAGCATCCTCATCATTTCCTCCAACTGTCTGCAGCAGTCGGGGTTTCATGAAGCTATAGTGGATAATACCAGCAGTGGACCACCAAACAGACACCATTAGCTTTTCCTGATGAATATTCAGTTTGGGACTGTGTTTCAGAACTTCATCTTTATCCAACCATTGTGCTGAATGCTTTCAATCATCCAAAAGAATCCATTTTCATCACATGTAACAGTTTGAAATAAAAATGGCTCACCTTTATGTCATGACAGCAAAGAAAGGTAAGCTTTGAGACCAGGCATGGTGACTCACACTTGTAATCCTAGCACTTGGGAGGCCGAGGTGGGTGGATTGCTTGAGTTCGAGAGCAGCCAGAGCAAAAGTGAAACCCCATTTCTACTAAAAATAGAAAAACTGAGCCAAGAGGATCCTTGAGCCTGAGTTGGAGGTTGTTGTGACCTATGATGATATGGGACTCTACCCAGGGTGACAGGTTGAGACTCTGTCTCAAATAAATAAATAAACAAATAAATAAAGGTAAGCTTTGAGATGGTTTCTCTTCTGACATTCGTTTAATTCATGAGGAATCCACCTATCCACCAGCTTCTTTACCTAGCTGATTGGTTTCAAATGGTCCCATGTTATCGAACTGTAACATTAGACCTTGCTGCTAATTCACACATGGGTTGAGATGGATTTGTTTCCACACAGCTTTCTGCTCATCATTACCCACCTTGGTCTGAAGTCACCCACGTGCCTGATTTTCAAGACTAACATTACCAGAAAAAAACTGCTCAAATCATCAACGTACTATGCATTCAACAGCCACATCCTTCCCAAACACTTTGGTGGTATTTCAAGCTTGTCTGAGATGCATTGGTTCCACAAAGGGACTCATATTCAAGAATAACAGTAATTTTTCACTTACCTATAATTTCACAAAAATTGCTATAAAAAATATTGAGCCAAAATGTGCATTTGAAAGAATGAGAATTTGCATTCACAATAAAAATAAAATGAGAAGTATCAAAGTGAAATGTCACAGGTATCAAGTGACAAACTTAGTATCTAAGGAAATCGGACATTTCATACTTTGTGACCTAATTTTTTAAAAAAAGTCCTTATTTTAGAGACACATACTAAAATATAGAAGAAGCGATCTGATGTTTGGTATTTGTTCTGAAATAATCCAGTGGGGGGGAGGGAGGACAAAGGAGGAAGAAGACTGCCCACAAAGGACTGCTTAGCCTGGGTACAGGCCCAGGCCCTCTCACACCTCCCTCTATCTGTACGTTCACAGTATGGAGGGGCCAATACCTATGACTGGTTGAACATGAGGCAAGTGGACTCCAGATAGATGCTACAGTGGAATAAGACAGACTCTGTGTATTACTTCTGCAGAAATCTAATGCTAGAAGTTACATTTTATTTGCTTTTAAACAGTAAGTGATGTGGACAGACAACACATCACCCACACAGATGAAGGAGCAGACCTTGGAAAATCCTCTGTGATGAATGCATTTCCCAGGACCACAGGCCTATACCTGGCCAGTGCCATGACAAGCTGGCTTACTCCGGGGTCCTGTGCAGCTCCCGGGGATGGCAGGAAGGGCTGAGTGTTCTAGAACTAGCCATCAGAAACACTTCAGGGGACAACACATTCTCATTCAAAGCTCAGCTCACACACTGCACCTCACAGTGCTCCATACCGGCCCCACCCACACCCTGACCTCAAAGCACACAGTGAGGCAGCAGTGGCACCAGCACCCACAGGGACAGCATCCAAATTCATGTCACTGTGCATGATTACCTGTTGGGTCTTTCTGGCGATGAGATGGCCAATAGTCTTGCTGAAGAAACTGGCCAGCAGAGGATTGAGAGGCGGCTCACGGCCCAGGAAGCTGCACAGAAGACCCAGCAGATGCCCGTCCTCGCCTAGTCTGTCGCTGATCTGCGGCACATCACAAGTCAGAAGCTCACAGGCTGTGTTTGGGTATCTAAAAGGGCACAGTCCAAGCAACTGGAGGTGAAATTAGACTTCTCACTCTCAGGAAGCTACTTAAGTAATTTGTGTCTCAGGAAGCAGACCCACATTAACTGACCTCAGAAAAGAAACGTGAATATTCTATGACCAACTACCAGAAGCTCAAAGTTTTAAATATATCTTTTATGGGCTCCTCTTACACTTTACTCTGACGTCTTACATTATCTGGCTCTGTGTCCATTCTCTACATAACCTTTCTTGGCCCTCTGGGTCCTCCTTTCTCCAGGCCTTGTGCTCACTGCCAGACCCTCACCTCCTCTCCGACTGCACAGCCACAGTGAGGACACATCTGTGTTCCCAGCAGCCAGCCTCTCTTCTCCTCTCCTTACCAGGCCTTCACCCTGACAAGCATCAGGTCAGCTGTGGAGCACTACACAAGCATCTCAGTATTAAGAAATACCAGTTTCGGCTCGGCACCTGTGGCTCAAGTGGCTGTGGCGTCAGCCACATACACCGAGGGTGGTGGGTTTGAATCCAGCCCTGGGCCTGCCAAATAACAATGATGGCTGCAACCAAAAAAAAAA